GTACGCATGTAAAAAAAAACACAACCCTGAAAGGTCTTCTAATTAAGGAAGTCCTCTAAAAAATCGGGGTAATAAAATATAATGGCATCCAACTTAAGGCTACATAAGATGTTCCTAAAAATATATACCATTAAAATTTGAAAAATTTTGTGTCCACGGAAAACAGCTTGAGTAGAAATTGTAGCCATAACAGTCTTCTGGAAGGTCATCTATTTATAAAATACCGCTAATAGATATAGATATTATTTTGATAGATGACCTCTAACGAAACATTAGACGTTACACAAAAGATTAGTTTTGTATCATGACGACTTTTACTGTTCACTAAATTGGCACCCAACGGAGGGCTATATTAAAATATTACTTATTACAGGGTGAGATGAAAAAACTGCAGCCAACTTCAGACTTCTGTCATTTCTAAGCCACTCGTCCGACAGATGTTAAAATTATTCCAGTTACAGTTCATTATATTGTTTAAAAGGGTACAAGAGCATTTTGGTGAGAATTTTCTAGAAAAAAAGTTATTCGTGATGGAACTCAAGCGTGATAGTGTGATTTCATTATAATTGGCTGGAAAACCACAAGTGGCTATAGTTAGAGCACTACACTCCATTTAAATGTAAATAAATCTATTGTGTCTCGTAACATCGCTTGTTGCTGTGATACTGGTAGTGTAGTCCGACGTCAAGGAAGCATACGGAAGAAAACAACATCGGCAGAAATGGTTCGAAAAGTAAAGAAGCAAATTGATCAAAACCGGTGTCGCAGTGGCCGAAAAATGGCTCGTGAGCTGAACATATCGCAATATTCCATTCGGCAAATATTGAAAAATGAGCTCGGGGTAAAGCCATTGAAATTCCAAAAAGTGCAAGAACTTACACCGCAACAGAAACAAAATAGACTCAAAACGGAAAAAAGAGAAAAAGTGGTGAACTGCCGAATTTGGTTTTCTCCGAGGTTTGCAGTTTGCAAACAAACAAAATGATCGTGTTTACTTGCCAAAGATGTCAAATGAAAACGTGCACCTTCGGTTGGCCACCAGAAGTCAAGCGCCGGTCATGGTGATGGTATGGGCCGCCATAACAGCCGATGGTCGCACTCCGCTCGTATCAATCGACCGTGGCATCAGATTAAATGCTGAATATTATCGCGAAAATATTCTTGAGGCTGTATTAAAGCCTTGGGCACACAAACATTTTGACCGCAGACCTTGGACATTCCAACAGGACTCAAAATGGGCCAAAATACCGCAGAGCAACATTCGGGCAGCGTGTGACGGCTTCATTGGCCATAATTCGTGCCAAAGGTGACCAATTCGAACAAATCTAAACTTATTCTAAGATTTGATGCTATTTTCCTTTGATTCTATAAAATTTAAAAAAATTATGGCGTTTGATTTTGTTGCGGTTTTTTTATTTCACCCTGTAGAATACTCCTGAAAGATTTTCCTTTTATAGATTACTTCTAACCAAAAAATGGCTTTGTGTCATGGCGACTGTTACTGTTTATGTTAATACACTAAAGTGGCGCCCAACGTGGGGATACATTAAAATATTGTTTATCATAAACACAGTTTTAGCAATAACATGTGTCAATGCTAATACGGAGAATACGTGGTCGTGAGTAAAAGTCTCGTTTCGAATTCTGCTTTCAGACAAGTATTCGGTCTATAAATTTTGCCAAATTGACAAAAAAATATAGTGGATGTCAGACGTTTCAAATCGATTTTGAAAACAGGCAAACATCGTCTTTGAATTTCTAATAGGAAAGTCAAAAAATGAAAAGTCGAGTTACGTACCTCTCAGTTCTTCAGTTTCTAGGCACCTACAATTGTAGCTGTCTGCACAGACATACTAACGAAGCCAAGAAGTCGCTCAGTTTAAAAACTTCAATTTAATTTTCTTTACTTTTTGTTTCATAAAGAATATTTCAATACATTTTTTGAAACTTGAAATCAAACTATCAAATTCTCCCCCAATTCTGACAACAATTGCCTCAGCGAAAGTATCATCTGCAAAACGAAAAAAAAAAACACACAACAAAACAGTTAAAAAAATATATCCACATCTACTGCACCATGAACGTGATCTGCGTCATAACGCAAAAACGTAAACGAAGCTGAAGATGATGTAGTTTTCTTAAAAAATGAGTTTTCTTTACAATTCAACTCGTGATCTATACAAAAACAAAAAAAAAAACAAAAACAACTGAGACAACACTTCGAGAAGCCACAAAAACCGGTAATTCATGCATTTTTTAAAGTTCAACAAGAAGGAGGAAAGATGAACAAAAACAACAACCACACAGAAAAAAAAAACAAAACATTACCACTACATTGGCAAATATGAAACACACTCACTCACCTTGTCATCATATATGCGTGACATATACACACATTCCAATGGCATACAAATGTTCGGGTTAAAGTGTTTGATCATTCTGCGCTTTCAAACCATACGCATGCGCAGCAAATATGAATTATGCTATGGAGTGATTGTGTGCCATGTTGAATTTCTTTTGTGGAAATTCACCACAATTTCAATATCTATTTTTTTTCGTTTCTTGGTTTTGTTGTCATCATCACCATCATTCTCACTAGCCGCAGCAGCATCCATCTCCATACATCTTTGTGGTCCGTAAATTGTGCTCAAATAAAACATGAAATATGACAATTAAGTCGACATAATAGCCTTAAATAAAAAAACGAATTATTGAAAACAAGACACAAACTCAAAACGAGTTTAACATATTTGAATGGATAACTAAAGATATATCATTGCGTCTCTATGTTCATGTGTGTGTGTGATTTTCAAATACGATTTTAATTTGCTTAGCCAAAATCAAACAAATTTTCATCGACACTAATGTTAAGAATGAAAATGCTATAATCTCTTTAATGACAGCTAACTTAGTGCAATAAAAATGTAATTATTTTTGAAAAGAAAAATTGCTAAAAATTGTTGAAAACGCATAGCGATTTGTTTGGAATTTGAAAGTCAGAATTTTCAAAGATATATTTGTGTAATATATATATATTTTTTTTTTCAAATAAATAATGCTTAAACAATTATATAATTTATTTAATGACAAATATTTTTCTTCTATTTTCAGGTGTGTATTGAAATTACCAATTTTCTATAAAAAGAATGTAATACCGAGTACCGATCCAAAGAGAGAACACCTTCTAGATATCTTCTACAGGTTGATCATTTATTGTAGACCTTTTGCAAAAAGAAGACTTTCAGAGGTCTTCTGCACTCAAAAAGTTCTTCGTTTCTTGGATGTGCTTCCAAAGATCTGTTTTAGACAAAATACCTTTTTTACAATTCGAAGACCTCCCAGAGGTACGAAACAAAGACCCCTCAAAGGTCTTCCATGAGAAGAAAAGCCCTTAAAGGTCCTCTGTGGAACAAAACTCCGTTTAGGGCCTTCAATGAAATTATGAAAAAAACGTCTTAAAAGCCTTCTATCAAAATCAGACTTCTATAAATATGAGCTCTTCCAGTCAAAAAACATTTTAACAGATCTCCTATAATGAGAAGACCGTCCATAGCATTTCTATGCTAAACCGGCATTTACGGGTTTTTCTATACTGAGAGGGGACTTCAAAGCTCTCCTATGAAAATAAGGTCTTTAAAACTCTTCCATGAAACATCAAACGATGGCCTTTAAATCTTTTATATGAAAATAAGACATTTTAAAGCTTTTCTATGAGAAAGTTTAAGCTTTTAGATAGAAAAGACTTTTTAAAGTCCTTATATGAAAAGATGGCTTTTCAAAATTTTCTATTTAAATATATCAAAGCTCTTTGGTGAAATGACGTTATTCTACTTAAAAAAAGACATTTTAAAGCTCTCCTAAAAAGAAAATATATTTTAAAACTCATCTTATTTCCATAGAAGACTCTTCTAAAAAAATTATTTTATAGTTCATCTACAAAGGAAAGAGCTTTTATAGCTCGTCTATGGAGAGAATCATTTTCAAAATTTTCTAGGAAGAGAATAGCTTTTAATAGCTCTTACAAGGAGAGAATTACTTTTAAAAGGAGACAAAACATTTTGAAGCACTCCAGTAGAGAGAATAACTTTGAAAGCTCTTCTATGGTCTTTTCTAAGAGAAGATCTCTCAAAACCTTTTATTTATGGAAATATGTCTTTTTAAGGAATAAAGGTATCCTGAAAGCTCTTTTATGGTGCTCCTTTGTGACCATTGCACGAAATTGAGACTTTTTTGATAAATGTTAAGACACTCTGAGAAGATAAGAAAACCTAAAGCACTTCTATGAAGAGAAGAACCATTGAAGAGCCTTCGAAAGATTCTGTATGAAATGAAGCCTTTCGAAATGCCTGCTATTAAATGGAGTGCTTAGAAGGGTCTTTTCGAGCAATTTCTTCCACGAAAAGATTCTACCGAATGGCCCTCTATAATAAATCGTCTATAATAAACATACGGAGGGGTGTCTTCTATGAAGTAAAATATTCCGAAAAGAGTCTTCGAAACACTGTTTAGAAGTCTTTTATGAAAAAGTTGTATAATTTTATGTTTAATTTTCAAAATAAAAAAAATCGTATTCAGCTACGTAAGCGTTAATATATCTCATAGTAAATTGGGCATGAAAAATTGTATTTTCATTAAAAACAAAACAAAAAAAAAAACAAACGATCACAAAAAACCCCCACCAAAAATAGTCTGATGAAATTTTACAATTTTATGGGAAAATGCAAGGCAAAACTAATTTATTTGCCATTTAGAACAAAACAACACTTTTTTCCACAATTTTAGTAAGAATTCTTTATTTATGCAAATTGCATCTTTCACCTTAACCCTGAACATTTTCATTGAAGTATGGCATTTACTTTTCTATTTGCAATTTCATTGGCATAGTGGGAAACAATCAAGGAGAGATAGACATGTGTGTGTCATACATGTATGGAACATACATGCATACATGTACTCGTATGTATTTAGTCTAGCAAGTTCATAGAATGTTGTTTCAGTTATTTAATTAATGCATTTTTAATTAAATTTATTTGCAATTTAAACTTAGCAGCTGATGTGTTGGCTATTCAATTTATTGCAATATCTTGTGATTTTATTATGGTTTCAAATTTTTAACTGGCATATTGAATATCTTCTTCACAAGAATTTTTATCTTGAAATTGGTTTCATAGTTTGTTTTTGTTGTTACTTATGGTCTTGAATAATCCATTAGCTCAGGTCTTAGTCACGATCATACATATTTAAACTGAAGTTGTTTGATGCCAAACGGGGTGCCACATGACAGGCTTAAATAAACAAAAACAAAACAAAAAATATAAATAAATAACAATTTGTTATTTTTTTACTGTCTTGCAAAAGCCAATGCTATTGGCCATAATGACATCATGCTGAATAAGTGGTATATTGAATAAACAATATTTGAAAACCATAAAAGGTTTTAGAAATCAGTCGAAACGAAATTCAAACGCTCTACAAACAGAAAAATGAGGGGGGATAATTTCGGATTCAAAAATCAAATCCCAGGAAATGATCCAGTTGATCCAATTCACTAGAATTGTTCTCTCTGCTCTCACTTAAATTTACTCTTCAAAATTCTACACTTCTAGGTATTATACACGAAAAAGGTCATCGGAATTTTAATTGAATGTGCCGGGTATAGAAAAGCCACATAAACTTGAAAACGTTTCGTAAATGCGTTGAGCCTCACAATTGTTAATGCAAAATTTGCGTTAAATATTCATAGAACAAAAAAAAAATTAAATAGAATTTTAAAAACGCAGCAAAATTTCTTTTTCCGTCATTTTTATTCCATATTATTTTTTATAGACAAGAGTCGTTCACTTTAATTACATCAACATTGGGTTCGTGGAAACATCTGGTTTTTAATTTGCATTTTGCATTCTCTGAATATGGTCAGAATGTTGGAACAATTAAAAATTATATAAATAAAAAAATTGAAAAAATGGCTGCGGCTAAATAACAATGGCATTTTCCTCATTTATTTCAAGAATGTTGTAAATTCAAAATGACGATTTTTAAGGAAGTGTATAAAAATCAGCCCTTCAAAAAACTAGCTAGAATCTAGTAAATACTGAAAATCACTCGTTGTTAAGGGGAAACATTCCTGGGAGTGGAAATAAAAAAAATCCGTCGGCCCCGTGCTTATACTGTTTTCTTTTCTTTGATTTCGTAAACGATTACCCCTCTCTCCCACAGCAACATCATAACCGGTTCGCTGTTACACACAGAAAAAAAATATTTTTTCACTCTATTTCACACCTAAAGAAAAGTCTCACTCTATCCCGAATGATTCGGCTCCCACTCTTATTTTTGAAAAGGGAGAGTCTCGGGAGCGCTCCCACATAAAACAGAAGAATGAAGAGTAAACCTATTGTAAAACCCCTCTCTCTGAGCAATCCCGCTCGGGAGCAAGATTTACTCTCGAGTGATAACGTGGAAATCTGTGCTTGAAGAAAAAACAAACAACTTACATTTAAGTCGTTTAAAATCCAGAGCTTAGAATTGTTTGTAGGAAGTACTCCTGCGTATTAAAAAAAATATTATATATTCTAATATTCTATGCCGCTCGAATAAGAGCGAGTATGGTAGGTCATTTTCGACTTTGTGTAAAACAGCGGTCGTCAGCGAGCTATTCGTGAGAAAACGAAGAGAATAAACAACCAACAAACAGTTTTCATTTTTTCCACTCGATTTCACTCATAGAGTAAACATTTACTCTATTTCGAGCATTTTGACTCCCAATCTTATTTTTACAAGAGGAACACTTAATCGCAAGCTCTTTCAAGTAGCAAAAATTAGGAGAGTTAAACATCTTGTTAAACTCGTAGTCTTTGAGTTCTGTTACACGTCAGTATTTTTTCCGTCATGAGAAAACGAGCTGATCGGAGCTCTGTAGCAATATTTAATGTTGGTAACAGTGACTAAGTGAATGATCAAACACATCCCTCCAACAATCCAACTAAATAATGTTGGTAAGCACTAATTTTCTATCACATGTTTAAATAAGGGATTAGTAACATGTTTCGTAAATAGTTACCGGTACCAAAATGTACTTAATAACCCTCTCAATGCGAAAGATGAAAATTATATTCTACATTTTGCAAACCCCTAATGGTTTATTTTAACAATTAGCATATACTTTTATATCCTCCACCATACTCTGCAGAGTATATTAGTTGTTTGTAACTCATCTAAGTAATCATTTTAGACCAGAGTTAAATTCTAATGCAATTTAGCAATGTCCGTCCGTGTATTTTTTATCACGCTATTTTCCTAAGAAAATGATATAGAGTGCTGAAATTTGGTACGAGTGCGTTGTGAGTCTGAACTTAAATCAAGTTCGAAAATGGGCTATATCGGCCAAATTTTTCCGATGAACACCATACAACGGTGCCCCGGTATTTCGGCGATTTTCGGCACATTTTTGAACGGAATTGTATGGAATTTTGTATTTGTGGGTTCCCATGGGTTCCTGATCACCTTGCAAAAAAAAGTTTGTAAATGTTGAGGGTTTTTTATTAAAAATTTCAAACTATAAATTAGCAATATGTGACCCCAGTATGTAGGAATCATCCTTGCAAAGAATTGTACGTGTTTAGTATACACCCCATACCTGTACCTCCAAATATTGAGTATATTGATAGCTACATTTTTTAAAAGAATTATCTCAAACTTGGTGGTTGGAATTCGTAATAGCCGCTAACTTATCTGGCAAGTAATTAGCTGTAGAGGTCCACGTTTTCTTATAGCCCCATATACTTATTCGGAATTTTTACATCCTCCACCATTCTATACTATATATGGTAACATCCTTCATTCATTCGGTATTTTGATGTTTAGCAACATACTACAAACTATGACAGAAATTATACAGGTTCACGTCTTCGCATTCTGCTCATATAATGGTTTTAATTTAAGCGTTATTTTTGGACATTTTTTGAGAATTTTCAACTTCCTTCCCAGTGGTGGGGGGTATTAAAGTTCGACCCGGCCAAACTTAGCTGTTATATTCTAACGGAACAATTTCTTACTTTTTTGAGTTGTTATACCCCACAACACTATGTGTTGGGGGTATTATAAGTTTGATTGGGCCAGAATTTATGTAACACCTCGAAATATTGGTTTCCCATATAGGAAAGTATATATGGATCTTCCTAGCTCGCCGAGCTGAGTCGATATGTAGCTATGTATGTCCGTCCGTCCGTCTGTCCGTCTGTCCATGTTAATTTGTAATCACCTTACAGGTCGCAATTATGGCCCGATCTTCACGAAATTTAAAATGTAGGTGGGGTTAAGGTCAGAATAGAACCCTATTTCTTTTGGAGATGATCGCCAAATGTTTAGGGGTTGAAATGGACCAAATACTGAAAAAATGTCAGATTTTGCAGTAGCTATACAGGTCGCAATTATAGACCAGTCGACGCGGAATTTCGCATGTAGCTAGAGTTTAGGGCTGGCAAGAAGCCTACCCATTTGGGTGGTCATCGGATAATATTTAGCGGGTAAAATAGACCATATATTTTTTGTTGAAAAAAATTCAAAAAAAAAAAAATTCATTAAACCGCGAATATTTTAAATCCCGGCGAAATCACAAAGCCATGACAAGGTTACTTCTGATCTTTACATTGATGTTAACATCCAACAAAACGGATATATAGCAAAATATGTGCGATATATATGTTTATCAAAGAAGATATGTTTGAAAAATCTCTTATATGTCGAGAACGGCTGAACTGATTTCGACAGTTCTCATTAATTCAGAAAGGCCTCTTGGCAGGAAAGAAAAAACGTCTAAAAAAATCGCATAAAAATATCTCTCTAAAGATGAAAATATTGATTTTGTAAAATTTTCTCATATTTTTTCAATTTTGTCATATTTTTGGCATATTTTCATTTTGAATTAAACATTTGGTAATATTTCTACAGCTAACAAAACTAAGTAGTTAGGATATCAGGATATCATATACAGATCGCATTTATGGCCCGATCCTTACGAAATTTTGCATGGGGATAAGGGTCAGAATAGAAGCAGGTAATTATCGCCCGATCTTCACGCACATTTGAATGGGGATTACCGGACATTGCAAAAGCCAAGAAGTTTCGAATGGCCATCCAAAAATATTCAATGTGTAAAGGAGTGCCAACTTTTGTAGACAAAATACGAAAATGTTCATTCTTTTTGGAGAATTCACAAATACAGGAAAGACGCACTTCTGACTATTTCGTTAACGCTGACTTCGTTGAAGAATATAGTCAAATGTCTGTACCTCATATAGATGCGTTTCAGTCAAAAACCAATAATAAATGGTTATCTTTTGCCACTTATAGGTCTTTGGGAAATATTGGTTATAGATCTAGGAAGACCATTTAAGTGCAACATCTACCAATAAATTGGAAATGAGAAAATTAGTTTAAGTTGCTATTATTCGAAAATTAGAGAACGAAACCTGATGGTTTTCTTTTATTATTTGTCACAATATCTTGTGGAATTCTTTCGAGTATCTCGCCTATATAAACTGTATCGTTTATTGTAGTGTTGTAGGGTATTCAACGGTCGGCCCCGCTCGACTGTAGCCTTTGCTTACTTGTTTTTTTTTTTTTTTTTGTAGGTGAAAGATGTGGGCATAATGGTGAGCTCTTATTTCTCAACAATCTCTCGTTCCTATTAAACCAGACAATTTTCCTCATTTTAATAGCTTAGTAAAAATTTTGGACTAAGTTCCAATAAATGCAATTGTACTCCAATTGATTTGTCTTCAAAATTTCTTACTCATTGTCATAGTTTTGGACAACAATTGAGTTTTTTTTTCGTAGTTCCAAAGAAATTTGACCTACTTATATTTTCAAATAAGGCCCATAAGTCTGGCATACAAAAATATTTACTTAACGTTTTTCTTAGATAAGATAGTATAGTTGGTGTTATATTTGCCTCAAAATTGAGTGTTTTTTTATCAAACGTGTAAGGTTACAGTTTTGAAATTGTTTAATATAAAAAAACTGTCGAACAATAGTTAACTACATTTCAAGTGGTAGAACTGTTGTAAAAGGCTTTATGGAGAACTTAATTTTTCCGTAGATAATAGATGGCAATAGCGTTATATATTTGGTCTTAAGTATTTTATTAGAAACTAAATTTCTAACCAAAACCAGTAAGGAAAGGTGAAAAGTCGGGTGGGGCCGACTATTTGATTTATGCGTATGCATAAATATAATAAAAAAATGTTTACATTGGTAATTTTTTTGAAGTAGATCGATCAAACCATCT